ATGATTTTCGAAGTAGGAGGAGGGGGGATCGGATAGGGGATTCCTGGGCAGGAAGGGGCAGGGAATGGGGTAAGGGGATAACATCTGAAATGTAAATAAAATATCAAAAAAAATAATTTTAAAAAGAAAAAAGGAAAAAAGAGTTATGATTTGTCAAATAATAGGATCAACTTAGGTAGGAAGGTGTGGGATAATTTGGGATGGAGGTCCTGGGAAGGGATGCTATTTAGACACCTTGGAAAAGAGAAAACAATAGCAGTCCAAGGGACTAGATGAGCAAAGATAGACTATCACTAATATCTGTCCTATATAGAAGTTTCCAAAGTGACTCTGACAGGAAAGTATAAGAACCTTCTTGAATGGGATTCCGGTAGGTACAAAAAGCATTGTGTTTCAAGATAAAGTTTTATTTACTAGCAAGAGATTTCTGATTATATATATATATATGTATATAATCAGAATATATATATATACATATATATATATATATATATATATATAATCAGAATATATATATATGACCTAGTAAAGAGCATAAAATTATCATTTCTGGAGCATACCTTGCCCTAGTACAATGAGAGAGTTAGAGGCTCAAGTCCTGGCTGTACCATTTCTTGGCTGTGTGACTTTGGTCTAGTATCTATCTTTCCATGCTCTTGTCAGTGAGGTGGGGATAATATCAGTGTTTCCACCTGTTTAGTGTTGATAATATACAACAGTGTATAGCAGTGTGTTTCAAAGAGCTCTGAACACTGTAGGATCTCTATATATGGTAACTACTATGACTATATTGCTCCCACATCATAGTTTATCTATATGTCTCTATATCGTGACCATAGAGGAAAACAAAGACATTTGTTGAAAGAGACTTTGTCTTAGCTCTGAGCCTCTGTTCTTAGCTTTTTTCCAAACTGGTCTCTTAAGCATGAGTTAAAAGTACAAACAACAGTCTTTAATTCATGGATGGGATAGGAAGACCAGCTTATCATTCTTATACTCTGCCTCTGGCTGTGTGACATCTTCCCCCATGGGGTACCATTTCTACTTTGACTTTAATTGCTTCTTGCCAGGGCAGCTTGTCGACAAGCTGCTTTCTGTCACTTGATGCCACTTGTTCTGTCTAGTTCAGTCCATCAGTTTGGGACACTTGCTTAAGTGAGAGGCAGATTTTCCAAAGAACACAATACCAATGTTAGTTCACCTTGGGCATTGATCTGGCTGATCTTCCTGTTTTATGCCCAGGTGCACAGGCTCAAGGTACCAGTACTCTTCTGCCAAGCTGTGGAATGGTTCTGTTTAGAGTATGTGTAGGAGGTGAAGGGACATATGACAGCAACAAAGCTGGCCAGTTGAGTGTCATAGGGCTTCAAGACAATTGTCCTCCCAATCCTTCTTGGTAGTTGCTATTCTACAAAATCTTACTTTGGGGCTACTTGTTTCTGGTAGAGTTCTAACACTGCTGTAGATCAAGATGTAGCATCGCTTTTCCCTAGATTTTTATGCCAGTTGAGAAGTTGCTGTGTTCTACTATGGATGGCTTTTAACTTCCTCTTGACATTAACCTGGATGTAAAAAGTGATCTCTGGGAAGGAGTGATTTGAGGAGATGAATAAAATTGAGATTCCAAAAAGTTTCTTAACTGTCAACAAAAAAAGATGCTAACTCTCTTTTTACCATCAGAAATTCTGCACACACAAACAAGCAATTTTAAGGTCATGATAGAGAGCTTGCCTCCCAAGAGGCTTTGACAGAAGCCTAGTTATCACCAACCACGTTCTGCCCTGCTTTTCCCAATTACTTTTTCAGGAATCTGCCTTCTGCTTATCATTGTCAGTCCTAGACTCAGAAATGTATGTATGCTTCCCACAGATGAGTTGGTCTTCATATTCATTTTTAAGGCCTTTTCTTTTCTCTTTCTGTCTTGGGTCCCTGTGAGGGCAGATGGTTTAGCTTTTTCTCTCTCCTCATTGTTCAGGGGTCCAAGCCTCCTCTTTTTCTTTTGGATAAGTTATTGTTGGCTACTAATGACCTTGACATGAAACAAAGTCAAAGCTATTTCATCTAGAAACAGACCAAGGGGCTCTAATACAGAGATCACACATGCTAGGGCATCATAATGAGGGTTAGAAAAGGGATACCAGTCAAACTCTGATTATTTCTTTCATGATTTTGTTTGAGTAGCTTCTTGAGGATTCTACTATGTCCTTCTTTGTGGTCAGTCTGGTGGAACTAAAACAAGAAATGCAGCTTAGAACTGGGAAGCTGATCATATATGACTTTCTACAACGTTAATGAAGAGCTTCCTGGTATTGATGGCAGTACCAGTAAATATGTTGGCAGTTCTGTCTGTGAACTCTGAAACTGATGCTGGGATTTGAATCCTGCTCTATGCTTACCAGTATTCTGTCTCTGCTGGCTCCTTAGCTACTTCCTATGTCTATAAAATGAAAGAATAATTCCAGGTTTGCCAAATATGTGATGTCTGGGTGGGATGGTAGATGATAAGCATTTACTATAAAGCCTTCTATGAGGTATCTAGTAAGTATTAAAAATCATTACTATTCTTAATGGTATTGACTATAGTTCAGTCCACAGTCATGGTTACATAATAGGTGAATAATTTCCAATACTTGGTCATAGTTATGAATCACACTGGCTATTACTCTTCAGAGTCAATAGCTGTGCTTGGTTATTGCCTGGTGACAGGTTAGAGGAAACAGTCTGTAGTTGGACTTTACAGAGCAAAGGATACACATCAAAATGACCCATCCAGTTAATAGTCTCTCACTGATAAAGTATAGATGGTGAAACTGACTTTGACTCCAAAGCCTTGTTGCTTTACTGAAAGTAGAAATTAGACATGGGTGTGCATAGGATGGTACAGGGTTAGCAGTAAGTCCCACAACTACCCCCACATAGTTGAGACTTTTGTATACTTCCTGCATGCCATATTTAATATTTTTTCCTCACAAATCACTTTTCTTTGTAACTCCCAATGATAGACCAGAAATAAACAGATGTTAGTTTGTCAAAGTTGCCTACCTTCTCCATATTCTTATTTTTGTCCCCTTTCCCATTGCTGCTTCATAATTAATATTATTGTATGGATGTGATGTCACCAAAAATCAGACCACCAGTGATCTTCCAAGAATACTACACTAAAATTCAGTTCTGGGGCTAGAATCCTGATCAGTGGATAAAATCTTTGCTTTGCAAGTGTGAAGACCTGAGTTCAGACCCCCAAGAATCCACATAAAACTGGACACAGTGAAGTACAAATGTAATCTACATGTACCAGTGCTGAGGTAGAGACTGAGACAGGATTATCTCTTGAAATTCATAGACCAGATAAACAGTAGAAAAGAAAGAGACCGTTTCAAATGAGGTAGAAAATGAGGATTCATACCTGTGGTTGTCTTCTGCCCTTCATATACATGTTTGGCCCATACATACCTATACTTATACATAACAATGTACACATAAACACTCACATACACAGAGGTATGGTGTAGGGGAAAGGAGAGAGATCATATGAAGTTAAAGAGATGAGCATTAATAAGGGGAAATGTTTTAATTATTTTTGAGAAATCTAGATTAATCCCTATGTTATTTTAGTTTGGAATGTCATAACAGACTCTTTTCTTGGTTGATACTATCACTCTTCCTTCCCACTTACCCACTCAGTTTTAGAGTGACCATGTGGTATGGACTGGGGACCCATATCTTGTGGAGAACACAGAGACCAAGATCTCTGAAGTATCTCTTATAGGGCAAATTAGTCTCTGATATAAACTTTATTTTGTAAATTACAATTCTCAGATAAGTAAATGTCCTCAACTGCCCAAACTAGGGTCTCTTCCTTTGTTCAGTATCTATATTCAGTGTGATTATAAAAATAAAGTCCCACACACTCTCCTCCTAATTAGCACTCCTCTCAACCATTAAAAAATCTTTTGTGTGTGTTTATATGTGTGTGAATAAAGCATGCTCATGCCATGGCATGTGTGTGGAGGTGGAAGAAAAATCTGGGGTTTTAGTCTTTAACTTCCACTTAGTTCGAGACTCAGCCACATGTTTATTTACATATGTGGCAGATTACCCAGTTCATGGAAGTTAGGGTTTCTCCTGTCTCTGCCTCCCATCCTGCCATAGAAGCACTGGGCTTACAGAAACACAGATCATATTCAGCTTTATGTGTGTTATAGGGATCCAAATTTGGATCTTTATACTCATGTGGCAAGCACTTTACTCAGTGAGCCATCTGTTTAGCCCCAGTCAATCATTCTTTAAGGTAATACATCCACTTGGTTCTGAATAATAAAACAAAACAAGAGGGCATTGTAAAATTGTAAGTCTCCCAGTCCTGAATGTGAATCCCATAAGTCCACTCTCCTGACAATTTCATAGTTCATAATTCTTTCCAAAATTACTCTATGCTTATACAAACCTATGCATTGATGACTCCCCATTTTCATACAATGGTAATACAATTATCACTTTTGTCCTGCTCTTAACTCCACTTAACAAAATGACTTGGAAGGACTCATAAAAACCCAAGGCAATACTCAATTTTAAAAGGCAGCATTGCATGCCCTTACAGAGGTGTGCCATCTATTACTGATGGTCATTAAAGGTGGCCTTTTACCAAGGATGCTTTACTAAATATCTATGTGTATTTTGTACCTGTAGAACTCAATCTCTCTTGAATTTTACTTGTAAATTCATACTTATAACTTTCTGACACCCAGAAACAGGCTCCAAGGAGAAAGACAAAAGGCCCACAGTGGCAATACAGAGGCTCATTTGGAAACTATACATGCCCCAGCCATCACTGGGGATCCTTTTTTCTTTTTTTTTGTGGAGTCTTTTGTTTCACATGTTGTTTCAGACCATTATGTCCTGAAGCCTCTTCGGATCCTTTTCCTGGATGCCCAGTGAGTGATGGATTGATACCGTTTGCAAGACTGATTCATATGGCACTTTTGTTTGGATTTTGACAGGTTGTTTATAAGAATAATGACATCCGTCTGGAGCTGTCTCGCTTGGCCCGGATTGGGGACACCAAGATGAAAATCTATGGTGAAGTTGTGTTCAAGTGTGAGAATGTGGCCACACTGGACCCCATCAACTTTGAGACCCCAGAGGCTTACATCAGCTTACCCAAGTGGAACACCAAACGTATGGGCTCCATTTCCTTCGACTTTCGCACCACTGAGCCCAATGGCCTGATCCTCTTCACTCATGGGAAGCCCCAAGAAAGGAAAGATGTCCGGAGCCAAAAGAACACAAAAGTTGACTTCTTTGCTGTGGAACTTCTTGATGGCAATCTGTATTTGCTGCTTGACATGGGCTCTGGCACCATCAAAGTGAAGGCCACTCAGAAGAAAGCCAATGATGGGGAATGGTACCACGTGGACATTCAGCGTGATGGCAGATCAGGTAAAAAGGACTTAAGATTGAGACTAGAAAAATACAGTAGCTCATCCGTTCTTGCCCTCCCCAACCCCTGGCTAGCTTTGAGGATTTATGTATTTATGATGACATTCACTTGCACGCTCACCTGTCCCCCTACTATTATTTCTAATGGCTGATGTAAAATGATATTTATGAACAAGATGCCTGTCTTGTGGATGGCTATTTTTCTTAGCTTCTCTGACTTTCTGCACAATGTTCTCAGTGATAGTTCTAAAACCTTAGCACCATGAGTGATTTGATGAGTAGCATTTCCAGTCCAACCACAGGGACTGTCAAGAGGCGACATTCCCTGCCCTTTCTTCTCCTCGCTTTCTCATCCCCATGGAAACTGACTGTGACATCACAGGCATTACATTATGGGATTGCTCTCTGGGATAAGCAAGAGTTTATGCAATGATAGTCCTTCAATAATTGGCAAGAGTCATGTTGCAGGGAGGAATGATGACAAGAAAGGAAGCAGCAAATTGATTTTTCCTGAAGTCATGTTCGATTTAAAGGCTTCCTTTGGTGTAAAAGCCCACATTTCACTCTTCCGCATAGGCCTCGCTAACTCTCCATCCCTCCTCATAACCTTTTACATTTGGTTTAAATGGCTTTGTTTGTTTCTGTAGCCACAGATCAAACAAAGTAGCCCCAGGCAGTACATAGCTACTCTAACGAAAAGAGGGCAGAGGAGGGGTAAAGCAATAGAGAATCTGGGCTTTTGAATGCCTGAACAGTCTGGCTGCCTTGTGAAGGGCCCTCTGGTGATGCTGGTCATATTCTTTGTTATTAGTAAGGGTGTTTTCCCAAGAGGACTAAGTATAGCATCTCAATTTCAGGCTCATTTTCTAATTCTTCATTTGGGCAGCACACAGCTGAGAATGGTTTTAGCTTTATTTGCTGTATTTGTATGGATTATGTCTCCTGGGAACATGAAGAAGTCAATCTTGGCATTTTTGTGTCTAGGTACCCTTTACCATTATGACAAAGCAAGAAGTTTCCACATCCAACTAGTAATGGCTGAGCTTCCACAGAATGGCAGCATTTCTGTGTCATTTCCCAGCTAGAAGGGTGGCAGAGATGAGCAATACTGCCCTCAGGAAGATCTGGATGGGGTCTATGCAGAATGCAGTCGGTGGCAGATTGTGGCCTTGGATGTTTTACTGCCCAGTAGGATTCTCTATTGATTGTCTGAAATCTGGTCAGAACCAAGAGGCTTAAAATTAAATGTGCTTGTTGAGCAAGAATGAACAGTTTGTGTTTTTTTTTTTTTCTTAAAAGATAGAAACACAAAAACATACTCTCTCTAGAGGCTAAATTTCTCTCTTTCTTAAATTTATCAATAAAATGCCAACTGGAGCAGCACCAGAACACTTTCTCAGAATTGTCTATAAAACATTACTGTTGTCTACTCTGTGAAGATGTAGGTTGAAGTGTTTTGTGTGCTACTATGACCTTGGTATGACTTAGTGGTGGCCCATTGGTGTTTCAAGAAGGCTAGTATACATAAAGACATCATATATTTATGTTTAGCCTATAAAATTTACTAAGTAAACAATGATAAGTTCAGGAAAGCAGTGTAACAGTACATTTCAGTATTATCTATTAAACTTCATTTCTTTGTGAGGAGTTTTTTTTTTGGTATATTTTTTCCAGCTAGCTATCAATTTTTTCTAAAATAGATATTTGTAAAATAAGCATGTTCAAATAGACCTTCTTCACTGAGAAGAAAACGCTGTCCTGAGTGATGGTGCAGTAAACATTTTATGAGCATTCTTCAGTGGAGACAATGAGTCTTAAAACCCAAGATACATATTTGAAATGTGTTCAACCATATATTCAGAGCATAGGCTTTCTATGGGATGCAGTCTGGGCTCCAAATTTCAAAGTGATTCTCATTCTGACCATACTTGGCAATCTAAATGTCTCTTGTCTCGGTTTCTTTCCCATTGCTACTATAAAATATTCTGACTAAAACAACTTAAGGGAAAAAGGGTTATTTTGGTTTACAGTTCTAGAGCGATACAGTCTATCAGGACAGGGAAGACATGACATTAGGCAAAGTAGGCATGGTAGTAGGAATAAGAGGCTGGCCCTTCACGATGCATCCACACACAGAAAGCAGGGAGTGAACAGACAGTTGAGCCAGCCTATCAAGTCTCAAGTCCTATCTCCAGGAACCACTGACTTCCTCCAGAGACATGCCATAACCTTTCAAACAGAGAATCAGCTGGGGAGTGAGGGTTCAAACACATGAGTATATGCAGCATATACCAGATATTTCCTAGCCAAACCACTTCAGTACTGCATTAATTAATGACTACGTTTGAAGAGCTAAAGAAATCTTTACGAGAAGCCATTAGGAGGCACAATTCTCAACTTCTTCCTTGTTTTGAAATAATAATTTCATTTATTCTGTGAATATTTCATACTGTGCTGGAACTGTAATGACTCCTACATCACAACATTGTTCTGAGGGAGCAGCCTGAAAATGCACAAAGATGGCATCCTGGTTTAGAGGCAGAGTACAATGCTTCATGTGTGAATCACTAGATCTGAACACCAACATTCAAAATCAATCAGTTTTTTTCTAATACGCAAAATGAGGGGCTGGAGAGATGACTGAGAAGGCTTAACAGTATTTATTGCTCCTGCTGAGTGAAGACCCATGTATGATTCCCAGCATCCACCTGGTGGTTCACAACTATTCATCGGCTTCGAAGGATCTTATACCTTCTTCTTATTGCCTCCTCACGCACCAGGCATGTACATGTGTGCATGTGCGTGTGCACACACACATACATATATACACACACACAAACACACACATACACACAAACACACATACACACACACAAATACACACATACACACAAACACACATACACACACACATATGAGTTTAAAACACTTATACATATAAAATAAATCTAAAAAATTAAATATATAAAATGCTTGAAATGGTAACCAGGATATTACTTTTTTTGTTGTGTGGGTTTTTGAAATATTAAGAATTTAATAGGCAAAGGCCATTTCTCTAGGAGACAGCTTCTAAAGAGAGTTAAGAGAAGGTTGCTGACTTAATCTACCCTAACCACACACCAGGGGCCCTTTTTGTTCTTCCTACTCTGTTCATTCTTCTGTTGCAATTTGGAGCACACGCAGCATATCTGCAATCTCCTTTAATCTCCTTCAGCCCTTGGACTGTATGCTTACTGACTGAGACAACTGAGGCCCAGACAGAAGAGGAAGGACAGAGACTGAATAATGGACAGCACAACCTACTTCTCTCCATACCTACAAAGCATGTCAAGAATAATATTTAAAGAGAAAACGATGCTGGCAGGATGCTCAGATACCATCTTGTTCATCTCCTATTTTGTAGTTCAGGAAAAAGAGCTGTAAAGGTGTTAGGGACTGGCACAGGGTGGAAAAGGCATGGAGACCAACAGATGTCTTTCATTTTCCCAGGCCAGGCAGTGGGCTTGCACCTGCTAAAAATCTCATTTGGAAGAGCCCATTATTTCGCCTCTCCCAGGATTTATGTTTGTCTCTGGGCCCATCTCTTCTTATCTCTTCTTGCTTGCTTACTTATGAAAAAAAAAAAAACTTCCTCCCACAATTAGGAAAATTAAATAATAATAATGATAATAATAATAAATATAATAATACAATAATATATGCATACTTTGGAGGACATAATTTTATGGAGTTGATCTTTTGTTTTACCTTTTCCCTGAGTTCCAGGGATCAAACTCAGGTTGTTAGGCTTGATCCATAGACATTTCTGCTCAGTGAATGAGCTGCCAGTCCCTTGAGGGCTTTGTAAGTGCCATTCTCTCTGCCAGGCATGCACTTTCCCTTGCATTTTGCAAGTCTGGATCATTTTCAACTTTTTGTCTTAACTGTTCTCCATATGGAGAGGCCTTCAGTGAGTACACCCTTTAAAACATGTTCTATGAGCTGCTTCCATGGCACCCATTTGGCTACTTCTGTAACAGCTGCTATTAGCTAATATTCTTAGACTATCTGTTGATTTTTCTGCCTCCATGCTCTGCAAAATCAGCTCAGTAGGAGGAGGACTCTGCCAGACAAGCCTAGCACTGTGCCTGAAACTAACACAAGGGAAAGAAAAAGTGTTCTCTGTACGTTTAATGATGCATGAAGAAACACATTCCATCCAGGTGTTGTGGCTAACACCTATAGTTTCTGCACTCAGGAAGCAAAGACAGGAGGATGACAGTAAGTCCAAGGCCAGTTTAGTTTCCGTAGAAAGTACCAGGCCAGGTAGGGCTACTTTGTGAGCTTCTTTCTAAAGCAAAACAAGTACACAAGCCAAAAACAATAATAAAAGCAGACAAAGACAGTGCACAAAATTTTGGTTGATAGAGTGGGCAGTCGATGCTCCATCTATAGAGAACTCATGAATAGAGAAAACCCAATTTTTGGGGGAACCATGAGCACCTGAAGAAGACATAGGTAATATAGAATCATTCTGTCCTTGGCTTCACTGTGCGGGATCTACACATATGAATTCCTTTAATCATCACAACAACCTGTTAGTTGAGGATAATTATTTTTTCCCGTTAGAAATGAAAGGTGACATCTGCTCTTCAAGACTGTAAAGCTGGCAGTTGGCAGAGCTGGGATTTAACTTCTTCCTGCCCTATTTTGTATATTGTCTCTCAGCAGATATGGTTATGGAGAGAAGAGATGTACTGGAGTTAGTCATTGGGTTCCTTTCTGAATCCTTTTATGATCCAAGCCACCATAGCTTCAGGGATTAGGACCAAGTGGTCCTTCCCAGAAGCTTGTAGCCATTGTCTCCCTGGTTGCAGTGTTGTCTCCTGACAAGGAAAAACTGATGTCACCCACTGCCTTCGTTTAAGCAGCTTCAGTGTCTCACCTGAGATGTAAGAAGATCCTTAACTCACGCTGTGCTTATCTCCCATTCCAGGTACCATATCTGTGAACAGCAGGCGCACGCCATTTACCGCCAGTGGGGAGAGTGAAATCTTAGACCTGGAGGGGGACATGTATCTGGGCGGGCTGCCAGAGAATCGAGCTGGCCTCATTCTCCCTACGGAGCTCTGGACCGCTATGCTCAACTACGGTTATGTGGGCTGCATCCGCGACCTGTTTATCGATGGGCGCAGCAAGAACATCCGGCAGCTGGCCGAGATGCAGAATGCAGCAGGCGTCAAGTCCTCCTGTTCACGCATGAGCGCCAAGCAGTGTGACAGCTACCCCTGCAAGAACAATGCAGTATGCAAGGATGGCTGGAACCGCTTCATCTGTGACTGCACTGGCACTGGCTACTGGGGGAGAACCTGTGAAAGAGGTGCGTGGCATTTATGGGTCTGAGTGGAGTGATACATGGTCCAGGTGACATCTTTGCTCATCCTGTGATTTTCTGCTTCCAAACAATAGTATTGAGTTCTGTGGTTTCTGGAGCTCATCCTTTCTAGTTGTAAACGATTAAATTTGCTTAGTCAGTTAGATGGTAGAAAGGAAAGCTTTATAAAAAAGCACCCCCGTGATCACATTACACTTTAAATATCTTCAATGGATAATGAAGGTTCTAGAAAGAACCAACTGAGTGTTTCCTTTAGTCCTTGAAGTCACATTTCCTTGGTGCTTTCTGCTGGCTGACTCTTGGATTGATCTCCAGAAGCACATTATTAAACAAAATGTGTCTGTCTCTGCTGTCATGGAGCTGCCTGTCTGTTCGGATTAAATAACTACTTACAAACACAGTGAGTTTTATACGAGGCTGAGTGATGGAGTGGTTAGTGAATATGATCTCGGGAGCTAGTTGAGGTGAGAATTTGGGCCCTCACATAGTTATATGAGCTTCTCCAAGACAACATCTCTGAGACTTGATTCACTCATTTGCCTGATCAGATGCTGACGGTGATTGACTTAATGGGTTCCTGGAATGTGAAAAGCATTTAATGTATGTTAGTGATTGCTCTATCATTAGTTATTAATATCAACATCATGAAGGTGCAGAGGAGCAAAGAAAGCCAGCATACTGCAGGGGGTTAGATGGCATGTCTACAAAGAAGCTGTAAAAAGAGATATGAGCATAAGTGGGCATTAGTTTGGCAAAAGGGTGATACGAAGAAGTGTAATCTAAACCAGAAAGATAGTGTGTGCTAAGGGGCATGTGTGAGACCAGAACAGAGGGTAGAAGGTTGGATGATTTGTTTTCTTCTAAACAAAGTCAGAATGGAATGGGGGCATGAAAGCTTTCTCTAGATTAGAGAACGGACCCTACAGAATAGGCAGAGTCCCATGGGTCTCCTCTCCATATACAACTTAAGCATTTTTACATTTGCATTCAACTTACAGTTTGTGCAAACAAGAAGATATGGGAATTATCATAAAGACAACATCAAGACAAGAAGATTCTTGTGCAAGCCACATCTAGATGGCAGTTTGCTATGTCGTATGCTGGTTATGGATTACAATCATCTCCCTTATGTGAAAAGTTACTCTACTTGACTAATAAATTTTTGAGGACCTCAGTTCTGCAGCTTTGAGGATAGGACATAGAATCTGCAATAGACATACTTCTTATTCTTTGGGGATTTGTCGTTTATTTGGCTAAGGAGTGCAGGGTTGTTCAAAAGAAGATAGCAACATATATTCTGCTAGAGGACAAAGAAGGATGTGGAGAGCTAGAGAAAGAGGGAATGTCTTGAATACATACCTGCAGGGCTTCATTGCTGAAGATTACCAGTAGTCAGAAGCTCCAGAAATTGAAACTATGATGGCAGAGACACTGGACAACCCTGGAGTGGTGCTGAACAGTTGCTTCCAAAGAGTGTTTTTGTGAGGTTCACAATGTTACTTCAAGAGAATAGCAAGCCTTCCTAGGTCCCCTTGATTCTCAGTATCTTTTCCTTGATGATACCGATTCTAAAAACTAATTATAGACCAATTCTTAATATGTACTAAGTGCACTCCACATTTCAGCAACCCATATTTCAAGAGAACTGCAAGTCTTCTTTACAGTCATACCAAAAACAAGGCACAGGATATTAGAGTGAAGGAGAAAAGGAACACTTTCTTGTAGCTTTGAAATTTAAATTTAAATTCAAACCCACTGCGTTTCTAAAGCAGCAACAACCATAATATGAGCTAAGATGAGGAGGCAGCCATCTGGAATAGAAATAGGCCACATGGGGTTGCTAAGTCTGTCAAGTGCCTGGACTCTTTCCAAATGTCTTTGTAGGGTAGCTTACCCTGGTGCTGGTTTGGAGAGATGGAAAGGTCATTTGATCTCTTGGATAGAAGAGACTGATTTGATGTTAAGCCCAAGGTATTGAGGATATTGCACTGTCTATAAAAGCAATCTAAGAACAAAAGTTTACCTCAGACATCTCACCTCTTCCTCTTGTAACTCAGAGGCCTTGAAATGTTAGAACCAGGAAACAGTGACTGGAGCCAGCTGTTCAAGGTGTTTATGAGCTCACCTATTCCAAGGACAAATCAATGGGAGTTGGTCCAAAATTGGCCAAGTACAGTGAAAGTCACTGCATCTTTTACATTGTCATTTTTGACTAGTCATTAAAAGGCAGCTGATTGGGGATATATGAGGGACAATTATTCTTGGTACAGTGCAGCCAAGAGCCATCCATTCTGGCCAAATGAGAGGCAGCTTAGCAAATGTAAGTAAGACATTTGATCTATATATCGCTCAAATCCCAGACAGTTCAACGGATTGTTTTATTCCCCCACTAATTGTTTTTTACCCCTGTATTGTTCCTGACACTGTGTTCAGAATGAATCATTGGACTGGAAAAATGAGAAGACTGCACTGTTACTGAATATAATAGAGCTTCCCAATGACATTGTTTTCCCTCATTGAAACTGCTTTCTCAGTGGAGACTTTTGAGTATTTTTTCTTTAGTTTTATATATTTATTTTGGAAACCTAAAACCTTTTAGTTACCATGTCCAATAAAAGCAATAAGCAAGTATTTGGCACAGCTCCTGCTTTGGATCAGGGGACTAGTATGTAGTCATCTAAAAGAAACAAAGGGTAATGTCAGACATGTTTAATGGACAGTAGGTGTTATTAACATGGCCATAGTATATGGAAAGATGTAGAGCAAATAGATGGAGTAGCCACTTTTATATGGTGGAACTGAGAGACGGTGAAAGGATTTGAAAGTGTTTTGGATTTTCTTATTCTTATTTCTAACAAAATTTTGTTTTCCATTTCTGATGCTCAGAACCTATAGGCATTCCTGAAGAGTAAGAGTGAAAGAAGTGTTTCATAGTCTCTTTGTGTGGGAACATTTGCCCCTTTGGCTTAAAGACTAGTTGTCCCATGTGCCAGAATATCACCCTGATCACTGAACTCTAATTATTGCTCTAATTTTTTATCATCTCCTCCCTCTATTTTTTTCCTGGAAGTTCTAATGTTATATCTAAAATTAGTCATTTGTACCAAACATAATAGGACTAAGAAAATTCCCAAGAAGCTGTGCCCCTGAGCTTAAAAGAACCGTGCCTTGACTCACTTAGGTCAATTATCTCATAATTGAAATGTTACTATTAGTAGGAGCCAACAAGAATGAAATCGAGAAAGTGAGTGTAATGGTGAAAACTTCAGTTCAGAGATGGGCATGGCTCAGGAATGACACTAGATGAAAATTTCCAACCATCCAAGTAAAGTAGGATTAACGGCAAGCTCTACCTCAAAGTTGTCCTCACCGCCCCCCTTGACCCCCAAAAAAGAAAAGGATAACACAACAGAACTAGCAAATATATAAGAATGGAGACTAAGGTCAATTTTCTTGAATAGCTTTCTACTTAGCTATATCTAGCCACCTTTGTCTCTAATTTTTACAAAACATTTCTTTTTCCTGCAGAGAGAAGAAACTCTAAATACTAACTTCTGAAAGTTGACTTGATACTTAATTTAGCATTTTTTTCAACAAGGCTTACCACCATATTAAAAATATATAGATGGTGAGGTCTATTGTAATTTTTATTGTTAGTCGTTTTGGTGTCCTAGTCATAGTAAGGTGGGAAGCATCTCTGGAATCTAAAAGCAAAATTTTTTAGTAGCTGCTTAATTGTCATCAGCTAAATTAAAAATTTGGGAGGCCACCTTTTCTTCTATGAGTCCTATAACATCTTTTGTTAAGAAAAAAAGAAAAACATTATTTGGTGTATTTGTGTGTATGTGTGGGCTCAGGCACAGGTAAGAACAAGGAAGTCTGAGGACAGTTTGTAGGAATTGATTTTCTCTTTCCCATGTGGTTTCTGAGCATTGAACTCCTGTCATCATTGCTTTTACCCAGTGAGCCATCTTGCTGGTCCCTATAATGTCTTACAGTGGACAAAATTACCATTGAATTTATTCTATTCTGTCCTAGAGACTTCCTCTCTTGGCAAGCTAAGAATACTTGACCTTAATTAGCATAAGACAGTCTTCTTTTCACTGTGGCTAACCTGTTAGTTTAGTTGGTGAGTATCCTGGTAAAGCAAATCTGAGAATTTAATTCCTTAGTGGATCGTCAAGCTAAATTTGAGTCAATTGTGCATTCTATGTTTGTCTTTAAATAGCTCTGTATAAATATATGTGGGATTGATTTAGAAAGAAAGTTCATACTTCTGTCCAGAAAATAAGCTATGGTACAGTGCCCAGAGGCAAAATGACCTTGTGAATGTTTTAGAGTCAGGCAGACCTGGAATCCTGTGTTGATTCTGTTACTAATTAGCAAGATGAAATGGAGGCCCTTGATCTTGATCTATGTCTCAGTTCTTTATCTATGAAATGAACATTTATACTTACTGCCTAAATATTTTGCTTTTTGTGGGGGAAATTTCTAGAACTAACTATGACATATAAAAGTGGAGATTTAGATAATGATTATGTAAAAAAAAGTGTCAATCAATGCTTATCTTAGAGAAGAAAGCAGAGCATTTCTAGGGACCCCAAGTCACTGTGATTGAGATACTCTGACCTCTGGGTTCGGAATGTTTTGATTCAGAGTTTGCATTTTGCAAAAATGAGAACAACTCTATTTCAGATTGTTGTATTTGTTTGTGCTCCTAGTGATATGCTATGTCCAGTTAGGCAGTACCTGGGATAGACATGCCAGATCACCCACATGTATCTGTAAAAGTCATCCCTCAAGAGGAGAAGTTTGGGAGCTCAAACCATCTCACTGACTTCCTGACTTCTTAAGGTTAAGAGCTTGAAAACAGGCACTTTTAGTTGTTAGGCAAAGAGCCTGGCACATGAATGTCCTTTAACATTTTCTCTAACTGAGGGTTACTCTACTAAGGAGAGCAGCTCATAAGAATGAGGAAACACTAC